CAAGTAGTACTTAAGTCTTTCCTTTTTCTTATTTATTGGAATATAGTATGTGGGGCGAGGAATTGCGGGAATTCAAGGACCGATATATGCAGGATCGGGGTGCCTCCACACCAGAAGAGTTATGTATGGTCTTTCTCTAGATGATTTAGAAGACGATGGAAGTCTATCTTCAGTTGCTACAAGTAAGTACCATAAAAGATTGTTAGTATATCATGTTTTCATATACATATTTCTTCAAAAAACATTAATTTAAAACAAAATTTTGATGCATATATTAAATTCGGGGTATTACTATATTTGGATAAATTCGTGGTGAGGTACGTTCGTGACAAAAAAAAAATTTGAAATGCATATATTAAAACCAATCTCGTTTAACCTGCAAAATTCTAATTTTTTTCATTATTCTAGCACAGTGGCACGAGTACTTCATTAAATTCTCATTATTCCAAAGTTTTACTATACATGAAGCTATTATTTTGATGATCAAATCATTCATGGCTCATCTTGTTATTTCATTAAGGGAAGTTTTTGGCTGAGGAAAATTTAGTGAGGGAATTTGGGAATTCCAAGGAGATGGCGAATTCGGTGATCGATGCATTACAAAGAAAATCAAATCCTCAAGCTATCCTTACAAACTCCCTCGAAGCAGCCAACGAAGTGGGGCATTGTCCCTATGAGTATCAAACGAGCTGGGGCAAAACTGTAATTTCCTTCTCACTTTAATTGTTATAGTCTAAAATCAAACAAAATTAGCATTCTTATGAAAATATCATACGGATATCTATAGTGAAACATATGAAATATTAATAATATTGCGTTAATGTTATGTATATATATATTGTAGATTGGTTGGTTATACGATGCAACGGCCGAAGATGTGAACACAAGTATCGGAATCCATTCGAGAGGATGGACTAGCTCATATATATCTCCGAATCCGCCATCATTTCTAGGCTGTATGCCGCCGGGAGGACCCGAGGCAATTCTCCAACAGCGGCGATGGGCTACAGGAATGCTTGAAATCCTTTTCAACAAACAAAGTCCTTTGATCGGAATGTTTCACCGGAAAATAAGATTCCGACAACGATTGGCTTATCTTTACCTTTCAAGTTGGGGTCTAAGGTCAATCCCTGAGCTGTTTTATTGTCTTTTGCCTGCTTATTCCCTATTCCACAACTCTTCCTTATTTCCCAAGGTGA